ATGTGACCTCATGTTGAATCACTTTCTAACTCCCAAGCATTCAAATCCCAATTCTGACATCTGTCAGAGGAGGCAGGAGTAAAAATTGAAAAAGAGGACATGTAATTGCATAACCATGCCGTATTTTAATCTTCTTCACCTTGGAGATGGCATTACATCAAATAACTTCACTCAGGCCAGTACTTTTTGGCACTTGAGTCAGGTCTCATGCGTGGGCCCTAGAGAGCAGCAGAGCAGGTGTTTCCAGCAAACCTCCCAGTGTTTCACTGACAGTCGGATGTGTCGGTGGGGCCCACAGTTACTTTGTCATATGGACGAGGCTACAGAGGCGAATCCCGGGAGAAGCAGACACTGCATACATCAGGATCTCATTACTGGCTTGCCGCATATATACAGTGTCATATAAAGTTTAGGCCCCAGGCTATGTTGTCACTTTTTCTGATTTGTACTTTTTTCCTGTATGTCCAAGCGCCTGATGCATGCATTCAGAAAATCTGAGCACATTATCTCCTTTCATGACACTCCAACACACAGTCATCCAAAATTATTTTATTATATAATCAGATTCAGCGCCTTATTTACTAAAGCCTGCACAAAACCTAAATGAATGCAGCTTTTTCCAGAGTTCTTCCTGATTTATTCAGACCATTTGCACAAATGTAGTCAGTCACAGTTTTCCAGTCAGAATACCAGCTGATGCAGCTGAATGGGCTGTCTGGTCAAATCATTTGCATCAGACTTCTGCATGGCTCTTCTCTTTTCCTCACACTTTCAAAGCAGTTTGTGCTCTCACCTGCATATCTATTACTGGGCCACCCATTGTATTATAACAAATACATTTACTGCATAATGAGGAATATGCACATAGGCTTTCTCACAGTGAGACCCAAAACCTCTAAGTGAAGGCTGAGAAATTCACTGACCTATTATCTTAAAGACTTACGCAGAGGGGTTCAATGAGTGTTAATTTGTTTCGGGTAATAGGAGTGAAAGCCAGTCACAGTCTATTGACGCAGAATGGCTCATAAATCACACTTATGCAGTGATTTCACTTAATCCTTGGTGCATTCTTTATACAGCATGCTCATCCAAATCACCCCTGTGTTGCTGAGCCAAAAGTATAGTTCTTCCTGGCTGAAAGCTGTTGGCTTTGGCCAGCTACATCAACCTGATTCAGTCTTGACTGAAAAATGTCAGCTGCAGCCACTGATTTTTAAAAGAGTTACTTATTAATTTCTAGAAATAAATAAGTAAAGGTTGTGCTGCTCTCCCAATAAGGTGACAACAGAGAGATGAGAGATTTTCAAGATTAAAGCGGATGTTTTGGTGCTGAGTTGGCGAGCTTTTCCACATGTCAAAGAAGCATGTAGTCCAGCTTCATTACATCTGGTCTTTAGTTTGATCTAGCAAGGAAGCTTTTTTAAATTATTTTTATAGCCTCTCCACTTGATTTAACAGTGGACAATAAATAAGAGTAGGTGGATGTCATGCAACAAATGTCAAGAGCTGCACTGAAACTCACGACATTACTCTTATATGGTATCCAATTGCCTGCTGTACCAAAGAAGGGCCCTAGAAGGGCAACTTTAACAGTAACACATAACTCATTTAATGAAAGCTGACATTTCTTGGAACAGGTTATTTTTTTGTGGTGAGGTGCCCCCCCAACACATCTTTAAATCCAGTAACCTCATATCAACTGCACTTTTCCACTAAGGAGGCACTGAAATGTGAATGAGACACTCTCCTTCCTGGCTACCCACTTTGGGTAGGAGGCACACTGATCGTTAGTCTCTTCTGCTTAGACTTATGTTTTCACTGTGATTTACGTTTTCCATCTAACATCGTTCTCATGTACTAACCTCTTGCATGGCTGGACTTTGGCTACGTCCTATGTTGCAGTTTAGGCAATTCTAAGAGTGAATCAATATTTCAGTGAAACGTTATTCACTTTATTTTGATTTTATGCATCTGTTAGCTTATTTTTTTACACTGAGGCTTCCAGCCTGTTTATGATTGTGCAATAAAACGTTTCCTTCAAAACAAAGGTTTCAATGTGTTTTGCTTATTCTTTACTACACTTGGATGTTTGACCTTCATTGTGCAGAATTATGTGCAGAGTTTGGAAGTTGAACGTTTCTCTTTGTTCACTTTATTGAACGCGTTCATGTACAAGCAGGTGTTTGTGACATCACAAATTGAAACCACTCATGGTCCAATATGCAACTTGCATGACAAAAATATGGTGTGGAAGTCTGAAACTGCCAGCAAATGTATGCTGAGATTAGTCTTTTCAATAAAGTAGGGAATGTCTTACATACAGAAGTTTAACTTTTGGGAAAAAAAGCTTATTTGTATATTAATAGATTTGGGGTTTTTAATGAGGGAAAGAGATTAAAATAATCGTTTATAAATAGCTTATTAAACTGTTTTGCTGAAAAACCATATGAGATAAATTGAGATTCATTGTTTGATGTCATATTGTTTGTTTTATCTTCAAACATCTCTGAAGGGGAATGTTTACCATCATACTTTAATTGCGGAGTAAATCAGTACTTGTGCTACTTCATACAGCACAAATAACCCTTTGTTTCTAAAAACAGTAAGAGCTTTTAGACATAACAGACAATAAAGTAGTATATTGTACTGTAAAATAAGTTTTAAATTCATTCATTCACCATCTATGCATTCTTCATCCTCTTACCGTCTTATTTTATTAAGACGAATCAAAGGATATAATCTGATTGAATAAAATAAATGTAAATGTCTTGCTCTATGTACTCACAGTAGACTGTATTGGTCATCATTTCTAAGTAAATCTTGTGTTATTTCCTTAAACTGTCTCCATATTTTATCAAATCAGGAAGCAAAACCCGGTAGGATCTTCTATGAAAGACACGGTAAATGCCACATGTGCATTCTGCATCAAGCTTGACTACATAAAGTTATTACTTTTGACTAACCTAGTCTGCCGTAAGGTAATCGTGAAATGGTTGCCTGAAAATGAGCTGGATATACATCAACGTTGACTTTGGCAACTTTGTAAAGGTGCTATGGGATTTAAAATAGCTAACACATGTATCCAACAGTGATTCTTCCTCACTTCAGCTAACAGTGTAAAACCTGCTGTGCTCCATCACTTCTGTAGCTACAGAGTGACTTGCACATACTTACTGAATATTATTCCCCTGAGTCCCTTCACACTCATTCTCTTTGGTATTTGAACATAAAGGGCTTCCTGAGTTACTTTACTGTATGTTTGGACCTCTTCAGACAGGCATGTCCTCTCTTCAAGGTTATTCGGTTGTAAAGGACATTAGGGCTGAAGCATTATGGGACCTGTAAAAAGAGAGCTTGGAAACACTTTTCAGCAACCCCCAAGGTGGAACGGTCACAGGACCCTCCCGACCTCTTTCCTTTCAAAGAAAAAAAATCTGTTTGGTTTGGCATGGACGTTTTTTTCTTTTCTTAAAAAATATGTGTCAACAGATTTTTTTTATTGCAATATCTGCAAGAGGAAAATTTACTCAGTTTAAGTTTTTTCTCATCCAAGAGATCTCTGTGTTCAGTGCACCTTTACTTCCCTCTAGGGTTGGGAAGAGGAAATTGTCTGACAATGTCTTTTTGGTCAAACTGAAGAAAGCATTAAAAGTGCATGTCAGGGGTTTAACATCAGTCAGGAAAAGTAATGAGTGTAGATGTTTCCACTTCAGCTCTATCTTACTTCACTTAGGAATAATATATTATATTCTGTGAGAGGAGAAAGTGTATCTAAGTCACTGTTTCCATGAGCCAACTCATAGGGATGTAATTATTAACTGTGAAAACCCTGATGGATGCCCGAGTGCTTGACTCACTTGAATGTGACTTTTACTTTCGTCTCTTTACTTTAATTTCGGGAAGTGGGTTATTTGGCCTATTAAAGTTACTCATGTTGCAAAGTCAATGGAGGAATATTAAGACTGGCTTTGTATCCATAAAGGGAGTTTTATATGATTATTTAACAAAAGAGGGAAAACGTACATGGTTCTCAACTACAAAATACTAAAGTTTCACCAGTCACTGACAGCCTGATTTTTAGGAAAATGTGTTACAAATAATAGTCTTATTAAATATTTCAACTTGATGCAGTCATAAAAAGGTGGCATTTCTAGTCTTGAATTACCACTGTCCATTACACGAGTATAGCTCAAACATTTAAATTTAAACCTGCTAGAGGGGCAATTTAAGTTAATGAGTCCAGTACTGTGTTTTTAAGTGGGATGTATTTCATGTTCATTTAAATTACACCACAACATTGATGCTACTAATAACAAACTCCATTAATGCATTCATTTTGGGTTCAACTTCTTCTTAAAAATCACCTTTTTCTTATGCACCTACCACACACAACCAGCAGGGGGTGCTGCCCGCCATAAAGCAGCGCCGCTTACCACTTACCTGTAAAATCCCTGTCATAATGGCTACATATTAAACATTGTGCTTACTGAGGAAGCTGCTCTGTCATCGTGGTTATTACTCAAATTCAGCCAAAATGAAACAAGGAAGCGACTTTGTTGCTCAGACAGCAGCTAACTATTTTGTATTGGCTTATCATTGAACATTTGGGAAGAAAAGCCCACTGCGCATGTGCCCCACTCCTAGTTTGACACTCGTGCCTTTCCTGTTACCAAATAAAGACAACACAGAGAAAAAAAACGACAGAGGTCTCACTCAGTACCGCTTTGTGGCTCAAAGAAATGAAAACGAGTGTACATTGCACCAACATCAGGAAACGTTGCGAGATAAGGTCGCCCTGGTATAAATAGCTTCACTTATAAATATCCTACTTGGTCCACATCAGCCATAAACTAAATACGCTTTGTCATTGCGGTCACCATGGGAACAGTAACTGTGTTTTTGAAACATCGTGCAAGGAATAAACGATCTTCGCAGCGAGTCTAGCTCCAGAGTTTCCAGAAGGAAGCGACGCCTTCACATGCGCGTCTCCATCCCCGGACCCAGGCGTGTCTTCGTGATGGGTGTGGCTCCTTTTTCACAGTGAAGTTTTGCTTTCAGCCACTGACAGCGGGTAAACTGATGAGTACATGCTTGAATGAGTCGCAGCTGAAAAAAAAAAAAAAATTCTGAACAAGAGCTATCAGTGACTCCCAGAGTGGCATGGACGTATAGTGGAAGATACTGATATCTGTGGAAGGGTTGAAGGTGTTTTCTGTCAGGACAACTCTCTTGGATCAAGGTAAATGTCAAGGTGGAGGTACTTTAAGGTGCTGAGTAAAGAACTTGACCTTTATCTGTCTGGTGAATTAACCTTTATGCATTCTGATCATTTGTTCATTTTAATCTCTATGTCCTTGTAAATACTGCTATCAGATTTTAAATGTTTGTTGCTACTTTGCGAGCCTGTGTTTTACCAACAAAAACAGCTTGATGGTAAATAATAAGGATACTGCTTCTCAGAGCTGAGCATGATTGTCCCGACCTTTCAGAGCACATTGATCTAATAACACAGTATGAATATAAACTGTTATTACCAAGACAAAACTACAACATAGGTATGGCTTAGTATATATGCTGATATATACAGTGTCCCTATCCCTGAAAAGGTCGTGTGCACTGTGAGGAGCAAACCTGATTGGCTGTTTATGCACAGTCCCAGCTCAAAAGGCTCCATTCAGCAAATGAAATCAGTCCAGTCAAAGAAAACCTTTATGTCAGAGTGGGCTGAGTGACAGCCAATGGAAACAGTAGCTGATAGCTGTGTTTGACCGAGCAGAATGGTGAAATATGTTTGTGTTTAATAGGAGGAGGAGTTTTTTTAATGCTTGAAATTGTGCAACTTTTGTTTTGTTTACAGAACAATGGGCCTCGTGCAGCTGTTGAAATCCCAGTTTTTGAGCCAGCTGATCATCTGCTATGTGTTCCTGGTCAGCGGCCTCATTGTCAACCTGTTGCAGCTCTGTACTTTACCTCTGTGGCTGGTCAGCAAGCAGCTGGCCCGCAGGATCAACATCAGGCTGGGCTACTGCATCAGTAGCCGTAAGTTGTGTTCATACTCTCTGCTACACCCATGATACAGAAGTCTGTTGGTACAGTGTATCTTTGTTGCAATGAATAAGATTTAAACCCCACATGCATGCAGTGGAATTCTTAATCAGTCTGCATGTACAATAAAACCACTAATGATCCCCCTCAGAGATGGTAGCTGCCCTGGAGTGGTGGTCTGGGACAGAATGCACGCTCTACACAGACCCAAAGAGTTACCCCCTGTATGGAAATGAGAATGCAATTGTGGTTCTCAACCACAGTTTTGAGATAGACTTCCTGTGTGGTTGGACCTTCTGTGAGCGATTTGGTGTTCTTGGGGTAAGATAAAGGGTCAGGGAAATATTCACAATTTCGCTTTTTTTGACCTTGAGGTTTTTTTTTTGCATTTTAGTACTATCTGTATCTGTCTTTTTTTAACATGCTTTACTTTTTCATCTTTTTTCAGAGCTCAAAGGTGTTAGCCAAAAAAGAGTTGAGTTATGTACCTGTTATTGGGTGGATGTGGTACTTCCTGGAGATAGTTTTCTGCAAGAGGAAGTGGGAGGAGGACCGAAGGACAGTGGCTCAGAGTCTTCAGAACCTGCGGGACTACCCGGAAAACTACTGGGTGAGTTTCACCTGGTTGTAAAACCTGTTGTATCACTGAATGTGCTAGCTTAGCTGTCATGCAATATCCCAGTGATCATTCTGGATTTGGAATAATGCTTTTAATAAACAACTTTCTTGGGCTAGTTCTTGCTTTACTGTGAGGGTACACGCTTGACACCAAAGAAGCACCAGATCAGCATGCAGGTGGCTGAGAGCAAAGGTTTACCCAAACTCAAGTATCATCTTCTGCCCAGGACCAAAGGATTCTGGGTAACTGTCCAAAACCTCAGAGGAGCTGGTGAGTATCCATCATTGATGAAGTATTTAAATATGGCCACCAGCAGATGTGGCCATATTAATGGGACAATGCACATTAAATAACATGACATAGGTCCTTATTGTAGATGTAAATGTGCTAGATTTAGCCATACAGGCTCATTTTCATCTGCAGTCCCTGCAGGTTGATGGCATGTGTGAGCTGGATGTCTGTTAGAGGGTAAAGCTAGATGCATTTGCAAATCAAATGAGTTTAACAGCTAACTGTTGCTGTGTGCTTTGTCCTGCGCAGCTGCAGCTGTTTATGATTCCACACTGAACTTCAGAAACAATGAAATGCCAACTCTGCTTGGAATTCTAAATGGGAAGAAATATCACGCGGACTTATACGTGAGGTACAAAGAAATGTTTTGCTATGACAACTGTAACAACATTACACTTCCTGTTTTCTGGTGTAATCATTCTTTATCTGAGAGATCTGACTTCCCCTCTCACTTGCAGGAGAATCCCTCTAGAGTTGATCCCAGAAGATGAGGCAGAGTGTGCTGCTTGGCTCCACAAACTCTACCAGGAAAAGGTTAGAGACTGTTGAAGTTGTAAATTTCTGATGGATAAAGGGTTTTTCCATAGGGCTCTGTTTGGTGGAGGCGGTAAGCCACCCAGATCTGATGGCCTTAACAGAAGTTTATGCATTAAATATTTAGAATGTACTGTTTAAAACGGTGCTTAAGTTCCTTTTCCCTTAAGATGAATGTTTTATTTCATAAAAGTTGGATGTTAATGAGGTGGTTTCAGGCAAGGTGGCCCCTCTCCAAGCTAAGACATTGGACTGTAACGTGTCTTTTGTGGAAGTCTATCGCTTCTCTCATTGCTTTACTGTTCACACACTTCATGGCCTCTAAGCAACTTATTAATATGAACTTGCTAATAGTAAATATTATACAAAGTAGTTGGTTCCTACCACTTTCTAAAGTTATTGGCATATTCAAAGAACAAACTTAGCCATGTTCTTATCTGTTTGCATTAATGTGTCAACAGGATAGCTTTCAGGAGCACTACACACAGACAGGCCGTTTCCCTGGCCCCATAGTGAGCCCTCCACGCCGACCCTGGGCCTTGATCAACTGGCTGTTCTGGTGCTGCTTGCTCCTCTACCCACTAGGCCTGCTACTCGCTCAGCTCATCAGCTCTGGATCAATGCAGACCATCTTAGCTTCCGTGGCTTTCTGCTCCACAGGTTGGTTTCATGCATTCATGCCTACAGTGAAGTCACCCTGACATGGGTGTGACGGCCCTTCCCTAAATTTAACCAGCTCCTTTTTGTCCAAACGGTCCATAAAGCAGCAGATTTGACAACTCAAATGTAAGTTCCCCCCATTTTTGGAAAATATGATTTATCGGTCTTGGGAGCATGTCCCCAACGGCATTCAGGCATGTGCTTACTTAGCAAAGTTGGTTAACATTCATCCATCTGAGTAGTTTCACTGAGTTGTTAAACAGGAAAAAGGTTTCTCTAACAGCATGTCACAGTTTCCACAATAAATAATTGACCTTGTTTGTGGTTTTTCCTGAAGAAAACCAGCTAAATCTTAAGCATTTATTAAAAAAGTGTCATAAGTTTGAACTTAATACTTGGATTTTCTCCAGATATTGGTTGTTGACTGTCGTAGCCCGTAACTTCAGATCTTAATGTGATACATTAAAGCACGTCATGAAATTCTGATCCTGAAAAGTCTTCTTATTATCTTATTTAAAGGGGAAAACTTACTAAATAAAAAAGTGAATTTACTGTGGAAATAGCCATGTCCTGTACAGAATCTCAAAACCTGTCACCACTTCTATGTGACTTGCTGAAATAATATTCTAAATGTACCATTTTTTAAACTTTCCCTCACAGTTTCACTGGGATTTCGCTGGATGATTGGCCAGACTGAGATTGACAGAGGCTCAAGCTATGGGAATAACTAAACAACAACTAACCTGAACAAACTCAGGGCTGTTTCTTTGCACAGCTACTAATTTGCAAGCTTGCCCGGCAGAAGAATGTGTAAACACCAGTCCGACATGATCTGCTGGTCTAACAAGTACAAACCTGCTTTAAAGCATAATGTTGATAGTGTAGTGCCATCTTAACGGTTGGCTGCAGAAGCTCGAGATGTTTAGATCATGAAACTGGAACTGTAGTGGTCAGCTTGCTTTGGGAAACATGCAATAAGAAACTGAGGCAAGATTAAATATGGCTTTACTGCATTCCCCTCAAAGGAGAGTGTAAATATTTGAATATAGTCAAGACAAACATTTTCACTGGTAACTTGAAGTGAAATTCAACCATGTGAACAATGGACTACCTCTTTGATTGTAATGCAAAGCATTTTCATGGCGGAAGGAAATAAACATTTCACTTTTTTTAAACATGTTGGTTTATTAGAATTCTTTATATATAGCAAACACTAGAGGAGCAGAAGTTGTGTGTGTGTGTCAGTGTCTGTGTTTGGTTGTGTGGACGTTTTGAGTTCAGCAGCTGGGAGGGAGAGCGTCCCCCATTTCTCATGAACAGCTGATCTCTTTATGACAGCAAGAACAGACACAACAATAACCCCTCCCTGAAACGTTAGTCAGGGACTCAAATGCTACTTTCATATCCTTGTAGTCTATATGACTACATTATATGACTAACACTTGAGGATTATATATCAAACATTGTTTGAAACAGAAGATCTCTATCCCTCCTTTTCTTTCCATAAAGATAGAAAAAACCATCATACTGGCAGGATTTTAATCACATACTAATCAACAGGACTACACAAGTCCATACTTTCATTTTAAAGACACTAGTTGGGGGGGGAAAAGGAAAGAGTTATAGTGACCCCTAGTCACTATATAGTCACTATAGTCATGCTAAAGCATATTAGCTTTGGCTGATCTTAAAAACAGATGCACAGATTTGGAAACAGTATTGTTAGGAAGGGATCTCTTCACAGCCAGTATGGACAGTAGAAACAATTACACTGACCATTAACTCAACTGTACCTGAACCTATCCTTTAATCGTATTTATGGGAAATTGGACCCAGTGTTGTTAAATTAATAAATCAAATTACTAGTTGATAACCAAATACCATATATTTAATGCAGAGAAAGACTGTAAAATATAGTTTAAACAATGAGTAAACCATCTGACCTTTCAAGGAAAGAAAAATATTTAGCTTATTCCCAGTATGCCTCTTCAAACCCATTAACAGTTCAGCATGCGTCATTTTACAGTTAACTATTTTCAGGGTTACATCTCTGAGTGCATGTACTAATTTTAAAAGCGCACACAAATATGGCAAAAATCTAATAGCAGTGAATCACCAGCAGAAAAACAGGACTGTTAATTGCACTAAATTGCAGAATATTACAGCCGAGTGTGGTTTTCCATTTTCACACCGTAATGCATGTATGTGAACTGATATTACCTTGACTTTCAGGAAATGCTCCCACAAAACTGCAGCATAGTTACGGGCCGGGCTATGGGTAGCTGATGTAGTGGCCATATCCCTGGAAAAAGTCCTGTGCCCTGTTGGTTTATTTACACTCCAACTTAAAGGCTCCATTCAGGAGATAGAATGAGAAAATCCAGTTAAAGGTGAATCTTAATAAGCAGTGTAGCAGTAGTAGTTTCTGGCACAACTTCACCTACTTCCAAGTTGCATGTAAAAGGAAAAAAAAGTCAGATGTTAAAACTGTGAGAAACAACCAACGCATTTCGGCTTGTGGCCTGCGTCAGAGCAATCGTAAAACACATTACAAAGAACATTTAAATAAGATTAGATGGATGATTTAAAAAGGGAATAAAATACAACCAATAATATACAGTAGATATACATATATATCAGCTAATGTGGCACCCAATAACGATTATAGGTGACACCATATTTCGTCCATAAACAGTACTGCATCTAAGGGGCTTTACTCAAGCTGGTACAGAGGTCTTTACCCCAAATCTACCTCATGTGGCATAATTTAAAATATATGTATATACATGTATATAGTATATCTATATATATCTATATTAATATATCTATATCTATCTATCTATCTACTGTATCTATCTATCTATTTGAAGTGTCTTTAAAAACTGACAAAGTTGTTCTTTATACTATAGTGTTGGTGCTCTTAGGTCACACCCTATGCCAATACTAGCTCTGAGCTATTTAGCTGATAGGTCTGTTTGACAGAGCTGACACAGTATTGCATATATAAGGTGTGTGGCATGACAAGGTGGTTTTGCTTTATTGCTGCATATTGTGCAACTTCTACAGAACAATGGGGCCTCCTGCAGTTATTGAAATCCCATTTTTGTATTACTTAATCATCTGCTATGTGTTCCTAGTTAGTGGCTACATTGTCAACCTGTTGCAGCTCCGTACTGGTCTGTAAGCAGCTGGCCCACAGGATCAACCTCAGACTGGGCTACTGCATCAGTAGCCTTAAGTAATGTTCTAACGCTGCTACACAGATGAAAGTGAAGTCTGTGGGAGTTCTTTTGCTGCTGGAAGAAAGAAAGAAATGCATTTGCAGTGGAAACTCTGCATACACACAGTGGATTCAGTCTGTATGAAGCATACAATCACTTTACCTCAGAGATGGTAGCTAACAGAATAATGATCGCCAGTCTCGACAGCTGCATTTCTTTTTCTAACACCATGCTTCAGGAGCTCCAGATTTGAAGAAAAGTGTAAGAAAATACACATTTCATTAAAAAAACGATTGATTTATTAATATTGTTTGTACATAGCAAACACTGTAAGAGCAGCAGAGGACCAGAAGTTGTGGTGTGTGTGTCAGTGTCTGTGTTTGGTTGTGTGGATGTTTTGTGTTCAGCAGCAGGGAGGGAGAGCAGGCCCCGTTTCTCCTCTCAGTTGGCTACGCTCCAGTCACATGAAAAGCTCTTCACCAGTGACCAGTAGACTTGAACATTGCTCCAACTTGACATTTACTCCTCAGCAAAGGCAAAGAAAAATAACATTAAAAAGAAAAAGAAATCCTTCCTAGTGCCCGCGCTTGCCAAATGACAAGTGATAAATTAATTTGAATATTTGGATGGTGTTCATTTCATAAAGGTAAACAGGCATCTCCGTCCGTTCAGAGAGGCTTACCACACCCTTTCCAGCCTCAAAGAGCGATTCCTCCCTCCTCTACTCAACTGCCCCTTGGGTAAACAGTTTAAAAGTGCCATAGATTTTATCCCCCCACCCAAACCCTCCCATTTGATAAAAAAAAAAAAGGTATTCCTCAATGCCTTTTCAGAGGTCTCTTCACCAGTGAGAACAAAACTTGTGGCAATAATTACTTTAACTTTACAATATTGTTTATACAAGAATTAAAGCCAATCCTATTCTTACAGTATGTACAGTCCCACCCCAGCCCCTCCTCCCCCCAGTCCATGGGTACATAAAGACACAACAACCCTATAATCCATAGGTCCAGTTGTCCTCTGAAATGATATTGTATTAGTTCCTCAGTTTAACTCCATGTGCCTTCAGCCGTAACTTCTTCTCTTCTCCGCGTCCACAGTTCTTTTTTTCTTTTGCCCACAGCATGTACAGTAGTGCTTTAATTTGTAAACTTAAAAGCCACAGAGGAGGTCCCATTCACTCTTCATCCGTACAAACCTGAAACAGACAAGAGATAAGCAGCTGTGATGAGAACTTTTACGCAAAAAGTGAAAATGTTTTCACTCAAAACCTGGAAACGATGTATTGTGATTACATGGGGTTTTAGTCATTGCAGTGCCTCACCTTGACAAACGGGTGGTCTAGCAGCATGCTAGCTGTCCAGCGGCGTTTGGGTTCACTCTCCAGACAATGGCCGAGGAAGTCCTTCCCCTCTGTGCTCAGCTTTTCCGGGATGGGGGGTTTATGGCCCATGCCCACTTTGTACATGATCTGGAAATTGTGCTCATACTCGTGCCAAGGCCTCTGCAGGTTGAGATAAAGGTGAGAAAAAGAACATTATTTCCGTTGTGGTTTTTACTTCTGTTTCTGTGTAGCAAACTCTTATGAAGTGGTAAGAAAGAAGGAAATAAGTTTGAGACCACAAGCAGGCGCAAATGTGTTTCTGACCAGCTTAACTAGCACTAGGTTTTTGTAACTTTCTGACAGCAATTTTAAATAATCCCAATAAGAACTACATTTCACTGCTCTGGAAGTGGCAGTGACTACCAGCTCCACAGATTGTAATCACACTGACACAGATATTTGTTGTCAAAACAGAGATACTGAGAATGAGAAGGGAACAACATCTCACAGCCAACATGTTTAATTTAAAACCTGCTTGTTTTAACACAAGAAATACCCTAAAAAGGAAACACTACTGCATAAAAATATTACGACATGGAATGTTAGTTAACTGCACTGAAACACAATCATTGCATGTGGAAGCCGATCTACAAAGCATCTCTTGTTTGCAATGATAATTATAACAGAGCAAGTATTTAAGTCTGTCTCCTCTGTAATTGGAACCGTCATAATACTTGCACCACAGTGAAATACCTAAATAAGCCTGGGTGGTACTTTTAAAAAGCTTGGATCTATGACTATAGCAAAACACTTCACGTGCTGTGTGAAATTGAAGATGTTTCCTTACCTTTCCAGTCACCATCTCAATGAGAACGCAGCCCAAACTCCAGATGTCCGCTGCTCGTCCATGACCTTCACCCTTTGCTCTGGTGATGACTTCAGGTGCCATGTATGCTAATTAAGACAGAAAATAATTAACAGTTACAACCAGAATTTATTAGGCACTTATACAATAATAATATGACATAATGCAGCATGTATCAGCTCCAAGAGAGCACTTTTAGAGTATGTTTCAGAGCCTGTACTTTTTCACTTACTTGAGTAAAGAAGTTGAATCAGGAGTCTTTTGTTACACATGTATCTGTACTTCTACTTGAATAAAGAAGGTGTGTACTTTTGCCACCTCTGCTTGGTGTACATATGTTTGTGAAAGGGAAAAAATTGAAATATCAAACCACAGTGACCCCTGGTGTTGGCCTGCAACCCAGACACAAGATATCATTTCTTACCTGCTGTTCCCAGTGTGCTATTCACCTCCCCTGGCATGGTGTGAGTGTTGTTTCTCAACTTGACTGAGCATCCAAAGTCACCAAGCTTAATAAGGCCGGATGATGTCAAAAAGATGTTGGCACCTGATATTTAAAAAAAAAAAAAAAACAACATAAAATTAACAGTGGGAAAAGAGTTTTTTTGTTTTGTTTTTTTTTTTTTACAAGAAAGAGCATGTGACACTTACCCTTGATATCACGGTGGACAATGCCGTGTTCATGGAGTACATTAATAGCTGTAGTGATCTGTTTACTATAGAGCCTGATGACATGTTCCTGCAGCCCCAGTCTGGACACCTCCT